AACTCCAGCCCCATGGTCCCACTAAGGTCTCCCCGAACAGGCGTACAAGGCACGCACGAGATTCCACTATTGTCTGTGATGCAACAACGATCTCCACGAGACAGTGGGCTGAACCGTCGAAAGGCAAGGGCAAATCGGGAAACTGAGCACCGCCGGGAGTGCCTCGACGACACTCTTGACGCCTTCAGAACCGGTCGCTTCGCGGGTGACTGCCATTCGTTCCCAGGCACATGCGGAAGTCGATAGTCCTCCTCTTCTATGTTCTTATGAGGACTATGCTGCCCGACTCATTCCTACGTTGGGTACTCATGCTCAAGGACAAGACATGTGTGCGGCATCTTCTCCGTCCGGTAGCGGTGACTTGTCGTCCTCAAGTGGTTCTTCACGGAATTCGGCGCACGAGTTCAACATAGAGGTATGGGACCCACTCACGTCCGAGGATTTTGCATGGCTTCCTCTCTTGACCACGGGCCGCTTGCCGGGACCGCAATGCGCAGCATTATGCGCTCATCTTCACACGTATCTATCCTTCTATGCACCACCAACTTCGCTGACGGATGACGAAGCTGCAGTGGGGGACATCATTGTGTATGTTACCAAACTGGCTCGCGAGTTTCGCAAGCAGCGGTACAATGACAACAACGCTCCGCTCCTCTATGTCCGCATCCAAGTTGGGCAAGCGTCCTGCAGCGCTTTGCTGGATAGCGGCGCGTCTCGCAATTTCATGAGCCAAGCCTTTATGCAAAGGGCTGGCCTTGGCACACAAGTTCGGAGGAAGGCAAACCCGACGACGATCAACTTGGCGGACGGAAGGACGCAACAACTTATCGACCGCTACATCGAGGCCGTACCGGTGTATTTCGCACCTCACGCATGCGAACCGGTGATGTTCGACATTTTGAACACGGACTTCGACATTGTTTTAGGAATGCCTAGGCTTGCAAGTGCGGATCACAAGGTCAACTTCCACCGGCGGACTCTTACCGTTCGGGACGCCTTCGGCGCTGAAGTGTCGTGTACTATTCCTCTTCCGCACCCTCCGATCCGGTGCCAAGTGGTGACGGCCAAGTCGTTCCGGGCTACTTGTGCTTACGAGCAGCCCGGCGAGATAGGCCTATGCTTCCTACTGACCGTCGCGGTAGCCGACTCTTCACCCACGGACTTGTCTTCGGACCCCCGTGTGGTGCGGTTGCTTGATGAGTTCGCCGACATCTTCGAGTCACCTACCGGTGTGGTGCCGGATCGGCCGATCTCTCACGAGATCATTCTTGAGGCCGGTGCCGTGCCACTGAAAGGTTGCATTTATCGCATGAGTGAGGAGGAGCTTACGGTCCTCTGCGCGCAACTCGATAACTTGTTGGACAAGGGCTGGATCCGCCCTAGTAACTCCCCATATGGAGCACCAGTTCTCTTCGTACGGAAGAAGAACAGAAATCTACGATTGTGCATCAACTACCGCAAACTCAACGCACAAACCGTCAAGAATGCGGGGCCTCTTCCTCGTATCATCGATCTTCTTGAGCGATTGGGCGGCGCGACGTACTTTTCTAAGCTGGATCTGAAGTCCGGATATCATCAGATTTTGATCCGGTCGAACAATCGCTATAAATCCGCGTTCAAGACGCGGTATGGGCATTTTGAGTGGGTGGTCATGCCTTTTCGCCTCACCAACGCCCCGACGACCTTCCAAGCGGCAATGACCAACGAGTTTCGTACGGTGTTGGACCGGTTCGTGCTGGTCTACTTAGACGACATTCTCGTCTATAACCGGACATTGGCGGATCATCTTGAGCACCTTTGACAAGTGTTGGAGACGATCCGCCGCGCCAAGTACAAAGCCAACCGCGACAAGTGCAAATTTGTCCGGCAAGAGCTGGAATACTTGGGCCATTTTGTCACATCGGAGGGCATCAGCCCGTTGTCGGACAAGATTCAAGCCATCCAAGAGTGGCCGGAGTTGCAGAACGTCACGGATGTCCGTTCGTTCCTTGGCCTTGCCGGCTACTACCAACGTTTTATCAAGGGATACTCGAAGATCACCACTTGACCAAGCTTCAATGCGAGGATCGACCGTTTGACTTCAGAGAGGATGCGCGGGAATCATTTTTGGCTCTCAAAGCCGCGCTATTATCTGCGGAGGTCTTGCGCATATACGACCAGCTATTGCCAACGCGCGTCACTACAAATGCGTCCGGCTATGGCATTGGTGCTGTCCTCGAACAACACGATGGCATGGACTGGCACCCAATCGAGTACTTCAGCAAGAAAGTGCCCGCCGAGCACTCCATTGATGATGCACGCAAGAAGGAGCTCCTAGCCTTCGTCCACGCGCTCAAGCGGTTGGTCTTCTACAAGACCCAAGGCACCGTCAATAGCACCATCGCCCGTTGGATGGCTTTCATCAACCAATTCGACTTCTTTCCCGATCACATTCCGGGGAAGTCTAACCGTTTTGTGGATCATTGTACCGCAGTCTATTCGACCTTCGAGATCGACAATGACCTGCGGGCCAACGTCATCCGCGGCTACCAAGCTGACCCCGAGTTTCGTGACAAGTACGCAAATTGCTCCTCTCCTAATTCAGCGCCTTCTTACTACTGGATCCAAGAGGGGTACTTGCTTGTCCACACGCGGGGGAAGGACCTTCTTTGCGTACCGAGTGACTCTCACTTGCGTACACGACTTCTCAGTGAGTTCCATGATGCTCCCGCCACCGGACACTTTGGAGTCAATCGCACGACTAGCTAACTTCGCGAGCGATTTTGGTGGCCCGACCTTCTCGACGACGTCACATGCTATTGCGAGTCATGCCAGGTTTGCCGACGGCGCAAATCCTACAACCATCGTCCGTATGGCGAGTTGCGACCATTACCGGTCCCCTTGCGCCGAAAGGAAGCGATTGCCATGGACATAAACGGGCCGTTCCCCAAGCACAAGACCGGTGTGGATGGGATTCTCATGGTAGTCGACCAACTCATCAGGTTCGCCATGTTTTTTTCTTGCCGCTACCATGCCAAGGCCCCGGAGTTGGCGAAAGTTCTTTACACCGGTTGGATTTGAACCAAGGGTTACCCCAAGGAAATCGTCTGCGACCGCGACACTTGGTTCATGTCCGATTTTTGGTTGGGTCTCATCAAACGATGGGGCTCATCTCTCAAGCCAAATTCGGCTCGCCACCCCCAAACCGATGGCCAAACGGAGAGGGCGCATCAAACCGCACGGGTTCTCCTTCGCACTCTCATCCGTCCCGACCAAGAGGATTGGGTTGAGCGGCTGCCGGATGTCGAGTTGGCATACAACTCGTCCATCCACCAGGCTATCGGGATGTCACCCTTCGCATTTGAGCACAGCTCGCCGGTCACTTCTCTGTTGGACACAATCATTCCACGAACGGTCGAGAGCGACGACCATCTTCTTTTCTTGCGTCGGATGCAAGAGCTATTTGTCAAGGCACGCGACCAGATATCTCGTTTGGGTTTCCTTCGCGGAGCCAACAGGCCAATCGCCAGCGTCTTCCTTGCCCATTCTGCATCGGCGATCTCGTTTGGGTTTTCGCCGCGGAGTTCAGCCTTGCACAAGATATCTCTCACAAGCTCGTCCCGAAATGGATGGGGCCTTGGCCGATCGTCGCACCCGCTGGGGATGCACCCGAAGGACCTTCCTTCACCATTCAGGTGCCCGCCCACTTGCCCGTCTACCCGGTCTTTCATTGCTCCAAGTTGGCTCTTTACACGCCAGCGGAACATGACGATTTTCTCGGGCGACGATTGCAAGACCCACCCTCTATGGACGGTTTTCAAGAGGTCAGCGACATCATCTCCCAGCGACACTACAGCAACAGGCCAACCGAGTACTTGGTACACTTTGCGTACTGCACTCACAAAGCTGACCGTTGGTTGACCCGCGCGGAACTCCAAGCGAACAGCTCCAGATGTTCTCGCACGCTACGAACGCAAGATGCAAGGCAAGCCTGTATCTTCAGCTCCACGTCGCACCCGCGTCCAGGTTCCACCTTCAGATCGTCAGCTTCGCCCTGGACCCGGCTTGACTTCATAAGGAGGGGGTGGTGTTACATGCTGCGCCTGCAACAGGCTGCACGGGCCATTTTCAGGCCCGTATCGTTTTCAGCCCGAAATCCTGAAAACAAGGGCCTACAGACCCTGTATCGTTTCAGCCTAAAACAGGGCCTCCCCGGCCCTGAGTCTTTTCAGCCTGAAAAGGAGGGCCATTTTCAGGTCCTCATGAGTTCGACCTGCCCTGAAACTCAGGCACCAGACCAGGGTTCTAGCACAGGCCATTCTGGGCCTGTTTTCAAGACAACCCTTGGTTGAGCTTCAACGCCAGGGTCTGGCACGTTTCGGCATTGGCAAGAGCAGCCTCGTGGACGGGCCAGCACTATATAGGACTGGCTCGCCCTGCAGGCTGCAGGTATTTCCTAGGTACTTCCTAGGCACTTCACGTGCAGTTCAGGAGGCAGGAGGTAGTCTTCAGGAGTCGGCAGCAGCACTCTGGAGGAGCGCTACAGGAGTAGTAGTAGCGCTAGCAGTAGTCTTCAGCGTTGGGCGCTAGTAGCGTTAGCAGTAGTCTTCAGCGCTGAGCGCTGATAGGAGCTAGAGTAGCACTGGAGGGAGAGAGAGAGAGAGAGAGATTGGGCGAAGGCCAGGGAGACTTACCTGCAGCGCCAGAGAGAGAGAGAGAGAGAGAGAGAGAGAGAGAGAGAGAGAGAGAGAGAGAGAGAGAGAG